AAGTTAGACACATACCGCATCTCCTCAGGATGCACTTTTAAAAATCTACACTGTCCTTTGTTTTAAGCATTATAGAATACATCTTTAAGTACAGTAGTGAAGTTTAGACATAAATTTCTGCTAGGTAAAACTTAGTCATATTCATTTGCTGTTTTGCCTGTAAATTGTAGCAGAACTGTATTATATATCATATTGGGATAGCATAATGGATCAAGTCATTAAAATACAGTTGATATCTGATTCTAACTTCTAGTCGCCAATGATTATATTTCTTAGCTAATAATTCTTCCGTGTTTGGATTAGAGGTTTTGAGAGGAGCTCCTTAGCAGCTTTCCAAGTTTCAGTATTAAAGTGTCAACTTTAATAAAGTAAGATGTTATGGTTGTAATTGTTTTGACAGTTTCAGGAGAATCAAACGCTACCTAATTTTGGATATTATTAAATTTCTTCACAGGTCCATCACTTGTGTTAGGCAAAATAGCAGTACTCCAGTAGTGTTGTATTTAGCATAAAACTAAAACATGGAAACCAGAGCATGTTGGGTTCAAATCTCAGCTTTACTTTTGGTAGTTGCAGTTGAATGACTTAACCTAAATTGGACTATTTCCTCACCTATAAAATTGGGCACCTATAAAATTGGGCTACTAATCTTGTCTTAATGGGCCATGATGCAAAGTAAGCAAGGTGATACAATGTTTGGTGTTGTGCCCAGCACATAAAAGTGGTAACTATTATCCTTACTCAATTATAAATAAAGTATTAGCCATCCATTATGTGCCAAGCACTGAGGATTTGTACTTTACACTCTCTGCTCTTAGGGATTTTGTTGCTTTTCTGGGGTGAAGAAGTTCAGGGAGTAGTTCCTGTGGTGCTGTTTATCAGGCTGGTACTTCTTAATCACCATCCTCATTTAGATTTCTAATTAACTATCCCTCTAATTGCTATGTTAATCCATACCCATTGCGCTGATGTTCAGTGTTGTTCATTTCATTGATGTGGGGTTATCTGAATTTGGAAAAGCATTCTACAGCTTTATAGAGCCTATAATGGTATTCAAATCCCTGACTCATACCGAGTGCAATTTTGTCCACTCCACCTGCGAAAGGGCCCAACAATTTTAGTTGTCTATTTAAGCAACAGAACCACTGAGTTACCAGTTCTGATCCTCCCTGAATAACCTTGGGTTTTAAATAGCTTTTAACAGATACAAGCAGAGTACTTTAACAGTCAGTCATGGTTTATTTGGATAATTTAAGATGACAGGCTAGCACTTTTCAGTGCTTGGCACAGTCAGAAAGTATTTATGCCATCCATATGGTTTCCCTGTGGATTAGATGTGAAAAGGCTTCTGTAGGAAAGATCCAAGAATCTAGAATTGTCTTATTTGTGAATATTGATTCTTGTCATGCTTACTGTGAATACTGAGAAATTCCAAGGAAGTTATGTGAATCTTTTCACAATTTAATTAGCTTACTCAGGAGAAACTTTAGCAAAAACTGATAGAATGGTAAGAATAAGAAACCTGATTGGTGAGGCCTGAAATTACAACAAGCATTGATCAAGGCCTTGAGACTTCTTCCTAACGAGAACAGTACGCCTCTGTTTCCGTAGAACCCTCTCTGGAGTGCCAAAATACGCAATACTGTCTTTCTCCTGCTTTTCATTTTTTGGTGGGACAATGTGGTGCCATTTTCATTTAAAATGTAAAATGGAAATGAAAAGACAAAGTGGCGCGGAGTTTTATCTAAGTTGTGTTATCTGTTAAGGAATCGATTTCTGTTAGCCTTGGGTTTCCCCTTTTCACTTATTCTGCCACCCATTACGTTTTAGAATTGTTTTCAATATCTCCGTATCCTCTGCTGAGTCATTATTAACTCCATTGGGAGTTTGATATTTTCCTCAAAAACCATGTAACAGTTTTTAAAATAAAGACAAAGTTTGGTTTTGAAGCTCTTGTTTTATCGGAATGAATAAAAGGATAAAAATCATTGTCTCTGTAAATACATCAGAACATTTTATCACATCCAAAATTTGATTTTAGAACTGTATGCACAAATTGAAATTTAGTTCAGAAATGTTACCAACCAAAAAGTATCTTCATGTAATATTTTCTGCCCATAAATCAATAACGTGTTGAGATAGAAGAGATTGTGATAACCAGAGCTATGTATTGCAATTTGGCTTTGTGACTTGTAAATTTACTTAAATTCTGTGACCTTATTGAGGTTTCAAGTATAATTCTTTTGCAGTGTTTTGATGAGGATAAATATAATCTGGTTTGTATAAAATACCAGGCAAATATTAACTCAAATATACTTACAGTTATGCTTCAAAGCCGTTAATCTGAATTTTTTAAAAAAATTCTTTCTTTATGCATGTCAGTAAAGTACAATTTCAGTTAATTCCATTAAGAAGCTGTATATGGAAAGTGTAAAACTGACACAGAAGCGAACATCCCCACATATTTACTGACACAGAAGCGAACATCCCCACATATTTACTGAATGTTTAATGCATGCTAGGCAAGGCTGCAGGTGCCAGTAATACAGGATGGAAGGCCTGATCCAAATCTCAGGCTACTCACAGACTGGCTGGAGACACAGATAGCTAAGCTGATACTTAGGACAAGTACTACAACTAGAAAGACTGAGGTTGGCTGGAATGGGACGACCAGAGAACATTTCCTTGAGGAGAAAAACTGGAACTGAATCTTGGAGAAATTTAATCAATTTTTTTCAGGCAGAGAGCTAGACTGGGGGCATTCTAGGCAAAGGGAAAAGCTTTGTCTGGAGAAATAATGAAGTCCCAGCTCATAAAAAGCCTTCTGTATTATAATATTTGGATTTTATTTTAATGTTATTTTGGGAAGCATTTGAAAAATTTCAAGCAATCAAATGACATAATCAAGTGTATAACTCAGAAACATTTACTAGTTTTCTATGTTATTTTTCAATCTGGTTCCTTCTAGTCATACACTGCAAATCAGCTTATACATCAGAGGAAACAGTTATCTTGTTTAACCTAAGACTGTCATCACATTGATGTTAGGCATTTGTGTATTTATGAACATGGTTGAAAGCTATGAAAATTGCCACCCAGATCTTTAAATTTTAGTAGCTCACAGCAGTGAGATACAAAGTTCATCCCATCTGACAATCTCATTTCTTGAATGATTATAGCATAAGGCTCAGGGAAAAAAAAAAAAAAAAAACTTTGCTTTTGGACACTGTCCAACACAGTAAGCCTTTTAATACACTTGGCATGAAGATGTCACAGACACTCATTCCAAAGCACAGTTCCCACATGGTAATAATCCTTCATCATAAGTATATTGTACTTGACAGTGAACACTAAGAAACCACTAGTTGATGTGTTTTACATTACACATTGTACAGTCTCTTTTTACAGTCTGATTTATAGGAGGAGAAAACATTTAAGTCCAACCTGATTGGGATATGCGTCACAGTTCCAGGTCCCTCACCTCTTAATTCAGACAGGTAATACAGGTCTCACTAGCCCTCTTCTGTCTGTAAGGAGGACACATGGCAGGAGTCCCTGCCTATGAGTATAAAGGAACTTACTAGTGGTCTTCACATCTGCATCCTCAGTGTTTCTCAGATTTCCCGCCTTGGTTTCAAACCTATTTATGAAGCCACAACATTCTACTTCACTTTTCCAGGTCAAGGGCAATGAACTTTTTTTCTTTTAGGGACCAGCTTCTGCCCAGGTAGCGATATTTATCCTTATCCTGCATAATCTTCAAACATTTCATATCTGCCTAGTTTCCTGCCTCTAACCTTATTTAATCCCAATTTTCTCAAACATAAACAATATAAAAGCGACATGAAAATATACTCTAACAGTGTTCAAAGAAAATTCAACTCTATAGCAGAACAAAATTAAGAGCTACAGTGCACTACAAAAACACATGTGATTTGGAGTCAGATAACTTACCATTTATCAAATTTGATCTACCAGACGTCCTAATGACCATCCTGCATTCTTTACATGCATCACCACATGTCATCACCATAACTCTCAGAGAAGTGTTCCCACAGACATCAACCCTTCAAGGGCTTCCAAACGCACTAAAAAATCACAGGAATGGACCTCCAGATGCCTACATGTTCTTACCACCATACAACTGTCCTCAGTAGTGAATCTTTGGATAACATGAATATGTTACTATATAATGTTGTACTCTGGTGTAGTGTTTTGAGTTTTATAAAGTGGCTTTCGGTTTTTTTTTTTTTTTTTTTTTTTTATCTTTTTCATTTTTACCAGTACCGGGGATTGAACTCACGACTGCCTGCTTGCAAGGCAGGTGCTTATGCCGCTGAGCTAAATCCCCAGCCCCTATAAAGTGGCTTTCACTCACATCTTATTTGAATTACAGAATAATTTATGAAGTAGGTGTAATTATCTGTGCTTTACACAAGAGAAAACTAAGGCTCAGTAAGATTATGTGACTTGCACAAAATGAAACAACTTACAAATGAAACAGTATGTGTTCATACATCTGTAGACATATATGCAAAATCAGGAGTCCTTTAAGTGGGGTGTGCTTGTATCACTTGTCCTGCTGAAGGTATTATTTGTTTCTGTGAACAAAAAAATGTTTTTGATAACAACACTGATCCCAGGGTGGGAAATATGCGTGAGTTTTCTTTTAATTTGGTTCTGGTTCCCACTGCAGTAGTCTCTTTTCTACCCGACTGCATAGACAACATTCCACACCTGAACATAGCAAAGGATAAATTATACATCTAACACACAGGACTGTTTCAAGCAAGGCAGTGGTCAAATAAACTGAAAATAACTCCTCTTCTTTTATAGGTGCTTTTTTCATGTAAAAATTATTTCATTGGGATTTTAGGCTGCTCCTAATAAATAATGATATATAAATGCACTTTGATTTTAAGTGCCTCCCCTAATTTAGAACGATTGGTGCATATCCCTACTCAAATATTCATTGCGATGACTTTTTCTTTTTCCTTCAGGTTTTGTGATGAAGGAACCTGTAAGGATAAAGCCAATATTCTGTATGCCTGGGCCAGAAACGCTCCCCCCACCAGACTCCCCAAAGGTACATCAGAGTCTCTTGATATTCTGATGTTAATCTGCATCTCTCCAAAGTACTTTTTAAAATGTACTTTCCAGCAGTTGTTGGCTGTTTTGTAGTGCAGTTGCACGCCAAAAGTACTTGCATTGCCTACTTGTGTTGAAACGTTTCATTGAGGTACATTTTCTCTGTCTGTCTTCGGTAAGTAGTTTGCCCTCCTAACAGTTTATAGATTGAATTACAAAATAACCAAGTATACCTCCAGCCACCTTTGGCCTACGGCTCACTGGCTCTTGACAGCAGCAGCATTTCATGAGCCAAGAGAGCTAGGAATTAAATAAATTGCTGTTTCAGCAAACAGAGATTTTGTTTTTGCTAATAGTCCTGGAACCTAGGTATTTAATGTGATGCCAAACCTCAACTGGCTGCTGACTTCATGTCTAAACTGCTGATAGTTTCCAGCAAGAGAGTGAATTACCAGACTCTGCATTATTACCTGCATGTTTCATAATACGAAAGGGAATCTGTTCTTCTTTTGCAAAATGAGTCTGCCTGCTTTGGGGATGGGCTTGCAATCTCTTGCCTCTCTGATTCATGCCAGGATCACTAGCCATTTTGCCTTGCTCCAAATGAGTTTCAGATTCTCCTTAGTGTGCTATGCAGCCACTACTAACAAGTGTATAATCAGGAGGGCTGTGAAGGATTAGTTGACATTTTTGGAGCAGGTAGAATAAAACTTTTCTCTGCCTGTGTTTTCTCTGTAGATATTTTTAAAGCCCATTAGCAAACTCATTATGTATTACAAACCTTTTGGATTCCAAACATTCATGGGCATGCTGAATTTAGGAATTTAGTTGGTAGCTGAGTATCTTTGATGACATTTTTGTACATAGCTGTTTTCACATAAGAAGAAACATAATTCCCCTGCGATGTTCCTAGGAGGTCCATTTCCTCTGTTCAGGCTGAAAATAAAAATGAATGAGCATATGTAAAACAAAATGAAAAAATGGCTTATGTAGTCTGTTAAATGATCAACAAAGACAGAATTATCTTCTGTTTTGTTCCAATTATTTCAAAATGAATGAATTGTCCTGTTAAAAGTATCAGTAAGTGGCTACTCTGGTTTCGAAAAGGATCTATAAGTGGAGTTCCATAGAGCTTTAAGGAGAAATGACAGATGGTAGTAGAAATTTTGCTCAATACATACTTTGTTTCTGTTTCTGTAACACATAGTATTATGTTATTAATTTATATTTTTTGGTAAATTTTTAGGTGTCGGATTCAGAGTTGGAGGACAGACTGGAAGTAAATATTTTGTTTTGCAGGTGCATTATGGCGATATTAGTGCTTTTAGAGGTAAGTCAGGAAATGTTGGTTTGGAGCATAACTTTCACTGCTGTGTTGTTTAAAAATGGATGCATCTTGAGACCATAATGTTAAGTGAAATAAATCAGACACACAAGCTTTCTTTTCTTATATGAGAAACCCAAAGTATAATTAATTTAAGAGCTAAATAAAAGATATGTAATAGGAAATAGGGAAGATAGATCTTTCTTAGAGGGAAAGAGGATCAAGAGATGAGGGAGGGAGAAGGAAAGGAAAGTACGGGGGTGAAAAAAGAATTAAGATGTGTAATGCACACGTACCAACTCCACACAAAGAATGGAAATAGTATGGCCTGCAAACATTTACTAATAAAAAAATGACCTGAAAAATTTTCCTCTCATGCAACTCCCTTCCCCCAGATAAAATAAGTGTACACTTACTCACATAATAAAATGAAGAATTCCCCATTTCCTCTGCCCACTCAGATGTTTGCTTTAAGTTGAAACTATTGAAGGAATGACTTTTATTTCAAAAGTTCCTTCTCACAGGCAAGCATGTCCAACTGTACCTTCTCTATTTTGCATTGTGTTGTCTTATCTGCCTGTGATTGCTCTTATCAGAAGGGCCTTGCATTCCAGGCACCAGGTCTGGAAAGCGCAGAAAGAGAATGACAGCTATTTATGTGACTAGGAGCAAGTCGTCGGGGTCCACAGGTGCTGCGGTGCTAGGGAGGTTCTCAGACACTGGGGCTCTCATGTGTGAGCCACTCCTGCCAGGTCGGAACCCACCCAAAGTCCCTGCTGCCGCCAGACCCTGCCTACCAGCACACACTGCTAAGTCCTCCTAGACTGTCGCTAGTCCTGTGATTTTCACTTCATTTAAATGCCCTTTCTCGTTCTTAACAAGAATGGGCACTGTTCCCAAGGCAGCTGAGAGTGGGCTTGCTGTTCCTTCACTGCATTTAGCCAAATTCTAACTACATTTGGGACCCACACTCATTTGTTCATGAATAAATATGAGGCAGATTCCTCCATGGCTTGTTGGCTTTTTTACTGTGTCTTGCTGACTTACATAATCTCTCCCAAATTCTCTAATTTAGCATTATATTTCTGCTGGCAAACCTTTTACTATTCCTTCTCCAAACACATTGCGTTTCCATCTGTCGAGGAAGTCGACCAGGAGATGTCGTGTGTGCCTCTGAAAATCCCCTTGGGTTCCTGCCCGAGAGAACTCAGGTCTTGGGAGGGTCCAGGGAACCTCTGCACTAGGACAATGAATGCAGTCTTCCAGTGGACAACTGTTAAAAACAATAAATCTATGTGATTGATAAATTGTAGCCAATGCTGTGGTCAGATACATCACCCGCTAACCACGTTCTTATGGACCAACTTAAGAACCTAACTTCTAACTAAATTTTCATATTAAAAGTATATTTTGATTTATACCCAAATAAGTTTCCATTTTTGGAATGAAACCTGTCTTAAGTCACTAACTCTCTGCAATGCTAAGACAGGGTTTTGTGGAAAACAAAGGAATAACTTAACATTTATATTTGAGGAACCATACAGAAATTACCTGCTCTGAAAACTCAAATATTGGTATCAGTGCAACAGTAAGATTCTAAGACTGATGAGCTCCAAAGTAGTGACCGAGTTATAATATATTTTCAAAATGACAAGAGACCATCCCTGTATAAAACCCTGAGCTTCACTTTTTAACCTAATTTTTTGTAGATTTGTAAAATTCTTAGTAGATGTTGTATTGACACCTTGGAGAAAATAGATGCTATATACTAGTATTTTAGAAAATACATTGCTGAGGCAATTTGATTTCTGATTGATGAACTAATTTTTTTTTGTAATTTGTGTTTCAGAGCAGTAAAGTACAGATATTTTAATATATAAACATGGTTGTTTTTATTACAAAAAATGCAAAATTTTATTTAGTAACTTTCCATTGTCTCTTTTTTGAGAACAGTTTTCCTAAAAGAAATAATATATAAAGTAGAAAGTTTACTAGTATTAAAATCCATAGACCTTACTATATATAATATGGGTAAAATATAAAGAAAACAGTTTGACCCATGTAATTCATTCTGTATCATTAAGTACTATCTTTTCTCTTAAGCTGTACATGACCTGGAATAATAAGTAAGCACATAAAAAAGTAATCACATTTCGTTAAAACAGTGAAATAGAATTTTACATTTATTAAATTGGGAGTGGGTGGATATTGCATAAGACCCAGCACTGTAAGAATTTAGGTGAATCTGGTAGCTTGGAGATTTATAAATTACTCTGATATTTTGGACAGTATGTGACCATTTCCTACACATTAACATATTGATATCTGGCTCAATGATAAAGAGTTTTTTCCTAAAAATAAGCTGCCTACTCACAGTTGTTTATGCACTGTTAACACTTACAAAAAGCTGGAGGGTTAACAAATGTCCTTTAACAGAATATAGTTTAAATATGCAAATTGCAAAATAATGAGCAATTGAACCATATATATGCTTGTATATATATTTCCTCTATATAAAATATATACCAAATATATATATGCTTGAATACTTTCTAAGATTATAAGAAACAAGGAAAATATGGAACCAGCTATTGAGCAAGAAAGTCAGGACTGTATGATGTTTTTCTTTGCAAATGTTGTAACATTGTCTTTGTATTACATTTTTAAATTCCACAAATATAATCACCTTGTTAACTCCTTTAATGTCTGCCGGTTAGTTTACATCATTTCCATTCACACTGTCATGGCAATAAAAAAATTAATGGAAGTCTGAAACTTATACTTTAAACAGGTTTCACTTGGTAATTTTGTATTTATCTCCAGATACACCTGGAAGTGAGACATAACATCATATCTTCTGATTATTAAGAATGGGTTAAATATACACATGCCATATATATGTAGAATTTACGTGTATTTACACACACAAGCACACACACGTACTTATATCACTGGTTTTGGTACTAGTGTCAGTGAAGATTTGAACTTGAAAATTTAAGAGCTGCTGATGTTATTTTTATGCCTATGTATTGTAAGTCAGAAGCAAGTAACACTGAAAGAAAATAACTGTGTTCTACAGAAAAGTAGGGAAATGTTTGTCTTAAGGGAATAAACGTCTTTCCACTCAGGAAGGTTTTAGGGAATTGAGAAAGTTGGGATTTCCTTGAATAATGCAGCAACCCTCGTAAACTTGTGCAGTGTGACTGAGCACCAGACAGAGTATAACCTTCAGCCAGTGGGGTCTGCCTTAGACTGTGCTCTCTATCAGCAGGAAAAGCTTGACTGTGAGTTCTGTGGAGCTGCAGGGACTGTTTGTTCTGTTGTGTTTGTTTTTGCACAGAATGTGGAGCTGTAAAAACATCGTTGAAAACAGTTGGCTTTACTCAATGCCATGACACTCAGCACTGAGTCTGTTCTGGTGCTGGGTGTACACATCTCTTTGCCTGCCAGAGTTTGCTGTATTGTAACAGGAGTGATAAGCACAAACACAGTGTTTACAGCCAGTAATAGGTGTGCATACCAGATATCCAGGCAGCAGCCAAGGTGAGGTGGATGTTCTCAGGTCTACCTAGAAGGAGAAGCATGTGATCTGGGAACAGGTTCTTAAAGAATGAAACCAGAGCCAAGTTTCCTTAGATGATCAGCTCCCAGATAGGCAGGCACCAGAGGGAAGTCAAATTCCAGACAACGGTAAAGAGTTTGTGCATTCAACTGAGAGGGAAACAGCCTGCTGTAGGCAAAGAATGTGGTTATTAGCCTTACTGGAGTAGGAGATGCAGAGGGAAGAGTCACAGGAAGAAAAGAAGGAACTGGGCCACACAGACCCCTGACAGGGCTTGATTCTGGAAGCTCTCAGAATGTTCTTCCTCCAGCAAGTGTTCTCATTGTGTTTTCATTTTATAATGACTTTCAATCCTTTTCTGAGCTTTGTAGTTGGAGCTGGAGGTAGTTTGAGGGAGCTGAGATGAGGGCTGGAGAAAACTAGAATGATTTTCTTAAAGGTGAACCTTTCAATTTTCTACTGCTAAACTTCATGCAAACTGGAAACAGAAATTCTTTATAATTACCGTCATCCAGTTTCTAAGCCTCTCTCTGTCTTCCTAATCTATTTTTAAAAAGGGTGTGTGTGTGTGTGTGTGTGTGTGTGTGTGTGTGTGTGTGTAGGGGAATCATGGTTCATTTAAAGATATTTAGTAAATATCAGTAAGTGTTGTCTGTTGTCATTATAGCTCCTGTAAGCAGATTAAATTCCCCTGTACCTTTTTTATAGTGGCCTGTGTTATAAAGAGAATATTAGTTACTTTTCAAGGATGCTGTACTTTCTTGTTGTGTTTAGACAAAGAACTGTGTTCATGACTGATACATTGCCTGTAAAGTTTCCTAGTTATGTGATGTTTCCTGTTCTACTCAGTAGTTTTTACTATTCCTAGTAAAGGGCAAAGACCAAGTCCCTACCCTAAGGAATTTAGAACAGTGAGAACTGAGAATTTCACCTGGTTCTCTTCCCACATAGTTTCTTTCAGACAGATTTTTTTTCAGCAGTCTTAGTCTGAAGACAAAATTCTCCTGGGATTTTACAGAATGTTGCTAAATATTTTTCTGCGTGTTTTGGCCCAGGGGATTTTAAAAAACACTGCCTTCTTATTTCTGCTTTCTGGCTTTGGCTTACTAGTCTCCAACAGTAACTCATTTCTCAAATTAGAAACTCCATGCATTCACCAACTGAAACTGGATTGGATAGTCTTCGAAATGGAGGTCAAGATCCCCAGTAAAAGTCAGTACTTTTACTGTTGGCAGAATTTCCAGGATCATTCAGTTACTGATATTTAGCTCTTGTGCATATAGGAAGACTGGCACACATTATTAGCACTTCACACCCGGTGGTGGGCACACGCACACACATTCCTTGCTTCCACACTTTGGTCACCACTCTCATGGTGCACCTGCAGTTTCTACATTTTTGCGTGTTCCTGGGAATGTAGCCAAAATAGTCACTTCCCTCAGAG